GCCGCCCGCGGGCAGCACCGTGCCGCGCGTCATCGCGAACCGTGCGCCGCCGCCGGCGACGCCGTTCTGAGTCACCGTCGGCAGCTCCAGCGCGAGCGACACCGCGACCAGGTCGCCGGCCTCGACGCCGGCGGAGGCGGCGAGGACGCCGGGGACGAACACCTCGGCGCCGCGCAGTACTGCCTCGCCCGCCTTGCGGCTGATCACGAGCTCTCTCCCGCCTGCACGGATGTGGCCGCGCCGCGGGCAGAGCGGGCAGAGCTTGAGGGGTGAGGTGGGCTCGACTCGGTGGGGCGGCTGGCTGGTCCCATCCTTTTTTTGATGGGGGGTGGGTTCAGGACTCGGCGCACGATTCCCTGGAAATCAGGTGCCGTCGTGCTTCGTCGTTTGATGTCGTTGCCATGCACGGCTCACCGCAAACTGAGTAGTCGATGGCGTGGGGCCCAGAGGCGGGCAGCATCAGCGCCATGGGGGCGCCGTCGACGCGCCCGACCAGGCGCCGCCGCCGACCCTGGGTGCCGCCGCCGCCGCCGCCGCCCGCGCCCGCGGCGCCCAAGCCGACGGGGCCAGCGCCGCTCCCGCAGGCATCTTGCCTGTCGACCTCGGCCTGCAGCTGCCGGGCAACTTCCTCGGGGTCCGCCCTGAGGGTGTTCACGCGCACGCACGTGCGCAGCGGCGGCCGGCACAGGGCTGCGGAGGCACGCAACAGCTGCTCTTCCCCCAGAGCGGCAGCCAGGTAAGCGCGGACCTGCAGGATTATGAGCCGGTGATATGCAGAAGCTTGGACGGGTTTAGCGCGTCCGCGATGACTGCGCTGTGATTGGGCCACACCCGCTCAAGCGCAGCCACACTGATGCAGGACGTGACAGCCCCAGTGCGCAAAACGAAAAGCAGTCGCTCGTCAGCCAGCGGCGTGGTAACAAAGGGCGTTGAACGGATGCAAGTTTTCACCGTTGCACCACTCACATGAGGATCCCACTCAAGGTGGGGATCAAACGCCCGCATGCGACGGACCGGCGGCACAGGCAGCCGCATGCCGCGAGGCCGTCGCCGCGCAGTGGCAGGGGAGAACGGTAGGGGCCGCTTGAGACAGGTTGTATCAAAAGCTAAGGCGTGCAGCTAGTGCTGCACAAACCTTCCTACGTAACAATCCTGTTTATAACTTTTGCGTATCAGAGTCCCCTGATCTACTGCCTCGCAAGCCGCCTGGTACTTTGCCATTCGGAGTGATTGATCAAGGTTGCTGCATTGCCTCCAACGCAATCACGTTGCTGCTCTTCATCGCGAACCGGCAAAGTGCCGAGTGACGACCGGCATCTACACCGGTTGCTATAGCCTCGGGCTCCTGCCGTGGGCTGGGGAGCATCCGCTTCATCCTGCTGCTCCCTAGCTAGCCGGCGTTCGGCGCCTCGAGTGCCGCAGCAGCAGTGTGCGGGCCTGGTCGCTGCAGCGGTTCCGCGCCCTCGTCGCCAGCGAGGCACAGGAGGTGAGACCGCGCACCTGAAAACGAGTTTGTATCGGCTGGTGATCCCAGCATTCGTGTGCTAGTCGCCCGATCCGGCCCCTCTAGCGGCAACACACCCCAGCGGCGCGAGCACGCACGCGCGCACACGCGCCGGCACACACATGGCATGCCCAAACCGCCCTCGCGGGCACGCCCTGCGCCGCAGGCCGCGCGGCTCCCTGCATCCCAATGGGCTGCTTCCAGTCCAAAGAGGACGCCGCAGGCGCGGCGCCGCGGCCCGCGGCGGCGTCGAAGGAGCGCGAAGTAGCGCAGCTCAAGAAGCTGGTGTGGCGCTCCGAGGAGCCCCTCGACGCAGCTGCCCTGCAGGTGCCGGCGGCTTCCTGCCCCACCGGCCGCGCCCCCCGGCGCGGCGCGCGCGCGGTCTCGCCCGGGATGGCAGCCGTTGGGCACGATATGGTGCCGAATCCCGGGCTTTGTGGCGTGGCGGCGGTCGGGCGGTTGTGGCCAATCATGGGCGACCTTAGTCGTTCTCATTTGGTCTGCCGCTGCCCTTGCCGCCAACCGCTCCCGGCCCGCCTCCGCCGCCCACCGCAGCGGAAACGGGAGGAGTTCTGGGATACCCAACCCTACTACGGCGGCAGCAGAGGTGCGGCAGGGAGCGCGTGCCCCTGCCCCTGCCAACGCCATCCATTCCATATTGCCAATAGTCGCCGCGGCCGGGCATCCGTCGCCCGCGTGCGGCGGGGCCTTGCCTCTTGCTTCTGTGCCTGTAGCGCTTCGGGACTTCCGGGGCTGCGGGCACGCTCACCGCCCATACCGCCGCCTTGCCCCAAATTGCAACCTCGTGCAGAGATCTGGGACGCGCTCAAGGCGGCCTGCGCCTCGGACCCCGAGATGGCCAAGGTCCTGCTCGACGCGGCCGAGGTTAAGGTGCGCCGCGGCGCGGCACGGCGCAGGGCGGCAGGGGCACGCTACGGCGGTGCGACGGGGGACGCTGCCGCTGCGGCTTCGGCTGCGGGGCGCTGCGGCGTTTCAGGTGGCGGCTGTGCTGCCGGCCGCTTCCGATGGCCCCGAGCAAGACGCCTGGATGTTTGTCAGAAGGGGCGTAGCTCACCAAACTAGCTTTACTTGAGCCAGCGTCGGCCCTTGCTTGCACCCCCTTTTGCTGCCCAGGTGATGAAGGCCGACATGAGCGTGAGCTACGACGCACGGGGCTTCAGATACGAGCTCCCGCCCTTCGTCCTCGCGGACCCCTCAAACCTCACGGCGTGAAGCGACTCTCCCGCCCCTGGCGACGGCCCATCGGCGCGCCCTGCGCCGCAGCGGCGCGTGCTTGGGGCCCGGCGGGCCGGTCGCCCGTCGGCCGCTTTGGCGCGCGCGCACCGGTCGCGTTTTTGCGTGCGCCCCTGGACCCACGGCCTGAGGGAGGCCCGGCAGCCGCCCCGTTGCTTCATTCCTGGCTCGGTTTTGTGTCCCTGGCACTGCTCGTACCCTGGTGATGATGGCTGCAGCACACCAAACTTTCGGCTACCGCAACCGCAGCGGCGCGAGCTGCGCCGCTTTGAGCCTGCACGCCTGACAGCCCCTGGGGCCAGCGACTGCTGTACCCGCCTCCCTTGGAGATCTGACGCCCGGTGCAGATCACAGTCACGGCCGCCGCGGCAGTTGCACAGGCATGGCGCATCATGGCTGCAGGGCTTGCGTGCTTGGCCCACCAAAGCACACACGCGTGTGCACGGCCGGCCCTGTCCTTCCCCATGCTCTTGCCCGGCCCGCCATGCAGTGCCTTCTGAGCACTGCTACTGATCATGACCCCCCATTAGCCCCACTCAGCTGTGGAGCCCGCTCGCATGCACGATCTGCCCCGCTCGCAAGCCCTTGGCCTCCCCTTTCGCTGTCCTGTGCAAGGCACACACGCAAGCACATGTCTGAATGAGATGGGTCAGAAGCACTCGTGACGTAGCCCTGACTTCGGCTGCCGCATCGGCACAACCAGTTTGTAACCCGAGGGGTGACCACATCGCAGCCGCCTGCGCTGAAGGGTCTCACAAAAATTGCACGGCCCTCAGGGGAGGGGCCGTGGGAGGGGAGGGGAGCCAGCCAGATGCACATTGGGGGAAGGAGGGATGACGGGCCCAGCGGCCATAAACGGCGAGCAGGAGGGCCGCGCGCTTGCCGGGCGGCCGTCGAACGGGGCGTGCTGGGGGCCCAGGAGCGGTCGAAGCGCGTCGTCTGCGCTGCCAGCACAATGAGGGGGGGCAGCTGCCAGGAGGAGGCGGGCAGGGTGCTGCACAAAACACCTGGGTCCATGTTGCTGGGGCGAGGGGCAGCCACGTCTGTTCATGGTCGGGCAGTGGTCGCTTGCGCATTTGAGGGTTGAAAACAGCATCGGTCGAAAACAGCAGCGCGATCATGGTGTCAATCCATTGATACGAAGACCCGCATCCCCATTCATGAGTGCAACGGAGCGGCGTGACGCGCCTTGACCGCTTCGGTATGGCAGGGGGCAGCAGATCGGCGCGGCGCCGCTGCAAACGCTACCGCGGCTCCCCCGCGCCCTCTTCCCGCCACGCGTAAGGC